TATATATATATATAAAATGGGCACGTTAAAACTGAAACTTTTAATTTTGTCGGCTACATTCTTTTTCATGAGATATTTGCGAGAGTTTTTTGACTAATTTAGTTTTATCCGGTTGAATGAATCGATTTTTGCAGAATGCGGTAGAACATTTCAGGAGAACAGTGGTGTTTTCGGATCCCCGAACAATTCTCCATCTACCGATGGGGATCGATGCGAATGGAGGATTACGGCGACACATGGTGAACGTATCGTTTTAAACATCACGTTTCTTGATATACTCAAAAGCAATTTTTGCCGCAGTGATTATCTTGAAATTCGAGATGGATATTGGTATAAGAGTCGAGTATTAGGTAAGAATCTTTTTTAAAATAAAAGAAGTCAACGCAAATTATATTTACTTGCATCTAACAATCACGATAATGAGAATACGAAAAAGGTGAAGGTGTACTGTATATCGTAAAAAGAATGTACGTAATTAACGTTAAATAAATTGGCACGCGTTTCGAGCAGCACACAAAAATTGCGATTCCATAATTTTTTTCATAACACATTTTATCTAATTCAGGTCGATATTGCGGCAGCGGTAAAATGCACGAGCCAATAGTGTCGAGCGGAAGTCGTATGCTGGTAACGTACGTGACGTCCAGTAAGCTAAGTGGCCATCGCGGCTTCACGGCTAGTTATGAAGCTGTTTGCGGCGGTGATGTCGAATTAGACGGCATAGGTCATTTGGAATCACCAAATTATCCAGAAGAATATCAATCCAGTAAAGAATGCGTGTGGAAACTATCTGTACCCAACAACTATCAAGTGGCCTTGAAGTTCCAGTCTTTTGAAATCGAGAACCACGACAATTGCGTGTACGACTACGTCGAAGTGCGTGACGGACATAACAACGATTCCCCCTTAATCGGCGTTTATTGTGGGTACAAGATACCACCAGATATCAAGTCGACGGGGAATAAGCTGCTCGTTAAGTTCGTCAGCGACGGTTCCGTGCAAAAGGCTGGCTTCTCGGCAACTTTTATGAAAGGTGTGTAATATAGCATAAATAGAAGTATGCATCGCGCAGCATACAATCTCGCATTGCGAGAAGATGTTTGTTACAATCGTTTTTAATGTAATTTGTTATAAACAATGCTACTTTAACAATGTTTAAGAATTCGACGAATGCGTATTAACCGATCACGGTTGCGAGCACGATTGTACCAATACGCTCGGTGGATACGAATGTTCTTGTAAAATCGGTTACGAGCTACATTCCGACGGCAAGCATTGCGAAGGCAAGATACAATAATTATTTCAAAAGCGGAACATTTGTTTAATTGGTTTAAATAATTCCAGTCCAAGTAATAATACTCTATATTTTTTTTTCACAGATGCATGCGGTGGATTTTTCGATGATAGTAACGGCACCATCACGAGTCCATCGTTTCCCGAAGCATACCCAGGAAACAAAAATTGCGTCTGGGAAATTATCGCGCCACCTCAATATCGCATTACTCTAAATTTTACGCATTTCGATCTCGAGGGCAATAATTTATATCAGGAGGAATGCGAGTATGATTCCGTAGAGGTGGCTAGTAAGCTTGGCGACGACGTTCTCAGAAAGCATGGACTATTTTGCGGTGTTCGATTACCGCCATTAATAACATCCGAAGGCAATTTCATGAGAATCACCTTCACATCCGATAACAGGTTTTATTTCATACATTTGTCTATTTTTTCAGTATTTAGCTTAAAGATATTAAATCATTTATACCTCGTAGAAAAAAACAAAATTAAATTTTTCATCATGTGCCTCGATAATGTTTGTAATCGATGGATAAGATAATCTTTTGTTCTTACACAAAGAATGCTCTCTTTTTCTCATTTAATTTATTGAAAAGATTTAAAATTAAATTAGTGTGTTATATGTATAAATAGATGAATAAATAGACGAATAAATAAAAAGAATATAAATCAAATTAACACGCACGCACGTACGCACGCACGTACTATAATACTAAAATTGAAAATGTGTTACCGATGCGCAAAATATAAAGGAACCAGAATATTAGACTTTAACTACATTAACTATCTTAATGCGAAAACATTAAATATAATATATGAAATTTTTACGGAGCAATTTTGAAAAATTTGTACATAAAATTGTAATACATTAGCGTAAATGTTGAGACACATGTTAAAAGATACGATTAACGCTTGTCATTTGCGCTACATGTTTTATTAAACAGCGTCCAAAAATCAGGCTTTGCTGCTATATTTTTTACGGATATGGATGAATGTGCCAATAACAATGGAGGGTGTCAGCACGAGTGTAAAAATACGATAGGTTCTTATCAGTGCTCTTGCCACAATGGTTTTACACTTCACGAAAATGGTCTCGATTGCAAAGAAGGTGGTTGCAAATACGAGATTACTGCACCCGTGGGAACAATTACCTCACCGAATTATCCGGATTACTATCCCAGTCGTAAAGATTGCGTTTGGCATTTTACCACAAAACCAGGCCATCGGATAAAATTGGTTCGTATTTTTATTTCGCGTAGTAATAATCAGTAATTATATCATCAATACATTTTAATTTCGCTTTTCGTGAAAAAAGGAGTATTCGAAAGAGAAAAAAGACATTTTACGAAGAAATGAATACGCATACTTTGCAGGTCTTTAAAGTTTTTGAAATGGAGTCGCATCAAGAATGCGCGTACGATCATATCGCTATTTACGATGGAGATTCGGCAGATAGTCTTACCTTAGGTAGATTTTGCGGTACCAAAGGTCCGCATCCAATTCTCGCAACTGGCAATCAAATGTACATGGTCTTTAAGAGCGACGCTTCCGTGCAAAGAAAAGGATTTCTAGCGATCCATAGCACAGGTAAATTTTTCGATATCGATATAACGAGTCTCGATAGAAAAATTCTAATTCAAAAACGTCGATACAATAATATGGAATTCAGAGATTCCGTAATACAAAGGATCTTGGAATTTAAACGCAATTAGTATATAATATGGTATATCGCATACATACATACATACACTCTAAAATATAATATTTTAACACGTGTTACAGCTTGCGGTGGTCATCTTATGGCAACGGATAGAGCAAAGCATTTATATTCTCACGCAAAATACGGTTATCATAATTACGATCACAGAACCGATTGCGACTGGATAATAGAAGCACCACTTGGTAAAAGTATTCGTTTAATTTTTCAATCATTTCAACTCGAATATGAAACCGAATGCGGATACGATTTCGTCGAAGTATTCTCCGGTTTAGACGCATCCAGCCCGCCATATGGGCGATTTTGCGGTAATTCCGTAAGTGTACTCGCTTAATAATGCAACATTATTAATAACGTTACATCGAATAACGACGTTATATATATGTAACATAACGAGAACATATTTAGATAGGCATACGAAAAACAATCATTATGTATAAAATTTTGATCACTACCTCCTAGAATACCACGGATTTTACGTCTATAAACGAGGCGCTGCTGGTAAGGTTCAGAACGGACGATACAATTTCGAGCAAAGGTTTCAAAGCCGTGTTCGTAGCAATCGATCGACAGGACAGTGAAGAAAAATTCGGTGAAGACGACGAAGATCAGAATCTTTGATCTTTAGGTCGATTATCTAATCGATTAAAATGAGCGTATCATCCGAGTTTATTTTTGCGAAAAATACTAGTTGTACTACAATATTACGCGTATATTCTTCTATATACGTCAGATAAAATTTTCATCAATATAATAAAAAACAATATTTTTTTTTCTTCTTCTTTTTTTTTTTTTATAAAGGATATATCAACATGGAGGATAAAATCTCAAATTGATCAAAATTTGAAATAAATTTGTCTCGCGTAACGATGGATTTAACGATTATCGACAAAAGCGAAGTAACATTAACCATAATATACGGTTAGTAGCTAAATATATCGCGCAACGACGCATACATCGCCTTGTATAAGATATCTAAATCTTACAACGGATACGTCGATTCGTGCGTGTTACGTTATTTCTCGAGCCATATTAAAACGATAGATAAATATAAACTATAAGAATATACGGTACGACAATTGCGTCCAATAATGGCGAAAGTTTGACAATTGTCGATTAACGACGACGTGCTTTATAGTTTTTCGTTCGTGCCTCACGGTTTAAATTACAAAAAAATAAGTAAATATTCTATTAAGTGATTATCGTTACTATAAAAGCTTCTCTACAGTACATATAGCAATAATTTGTTAATGTATTTTACATACTTATTTTAATTAACGAAACAAATAATTAACATTACATAAAATTACGCATGCAATTTCGGCATTTAGAGACTAATTATCTTATTCGTCTTAACCATAACATTATATTATATTACGATTAATATCTATTTTTTTTTGTTTTTTTTTTTTTTTTTTTAATAGACTATTTTTTTTTTTTTCGTTAATAGACGTTTTGAAATAGAACATAATTGATGAGGCCTATATCACACGGCCCAGCTATGTGCCATATATAGTAAAACATTTATAAATTCGTTATTGTTACATTTGATATTTTTTTTCCCCGCTCTTGTTCGATATGGCTAAAATTAACGAGATTTTACTGTATTGTACGCAAGCGATATATCGGCGGAAGATAACTCTTCTCCTTGATATTGTTCTCACCAGGAACAAACACTGCCTAAAGGACAGTAATATATCAATATTTCACGTTTCATACTTAATAAGAAAACATTTTATTTAATAATTAGATTATAGAAGGAATTCAGGTTTTACGCATTATATTAATGGCATTTTGTAATATCGCGCGGCGCATGACGGTGCCAATTCATGATCTTGCAATCGATTCATCTCGCTCGCAATGCATTTGTATCACGATTTGCGTAAATATAAATAAATATAAATATAAATATAAATTAAATATAAATAGAAATATATAAATAAAATTGTAAATATAAAATATGTATAAAAATGTACGGGAAATGAAGGCGCTGTATCGTAATACATATAAAAGCCAATAGTATTTCGTAGATATTTCGTTATGTTTCTATTTAGAAGTTGTAAAGAAGTACAATGTCACGTAATTTCTAAACACTTAAAAAAAAAACGTAATGTAAATAACTTTACGCATGTATGTGTGTGTATGTATGCGTGTTTTTTTTTTTTTTTTTTTTTTTTTTTTTTTTTTTCAGGTATTATTTCCCGAGTAAATTTCTCCAATGCATTAATTATAGTTTGATTATGACCATCAGACATAAATCTTGCTTAACGCTCTTGAACAGGTTCTAAATATGTTTTATGTGTTATTAATCGCTTTATATGCCCTCTCATACTCTGCTCCTATTCCTCGCATCGCCTTTATATTCCACGCTCATAGCTTCGCGAGAAAATATTCGACACACATTCCGACGTCTGTTTATTTTATTGTATATGAATAAAGTTAATTATAACAGCATTTTATATGTAGCACCAACATAAATAAATTGTAGCCTATTGAATTATTAAATAAATATTAAAACGTTTATATACTGTTTATTGATCCTAGTAAATCTTTTCTGGGTCAGACCAGCTGTTTTTTTTTTTTTTGGGTTAGGAAAGGCAAGGCAATGTCAGATTTGGTTAGGCAAGGCAA